GGCAGTACTGTAGTGATAGCAAAAGTCAGTACTGTAGTGATAGCAAAAGGCAGTACTGTAGTGATAGCAAAAGGCAGTACTGTAGTGATAGCAAAAGGCAGTACTGTAGTGATAGCAAAAGTCAGTACTGTAGTGATAGCAAAAGGCAGTACTGTAGTGATAGCAAAAGGCAGTACTGTAGTGATAGCAAAAGGCAGTACTGTAGTGATAGCAAAAGTCAGTACTGTAGTGATAGCAAAAGGCAGTACTGTAGTGATAGCAAAAGGCAGTACTGTAGTGATAGCAAAAGGCAGTACTGTAGTGATAGCAAAAGTCAGTACTGTAGTGATAGCAAAAGGCAGTACTGTAGTGATAGCAAAAGTCAGTACTGTAGTGATAGCAAAAGTCAGTACTGTAGTGATAGCAAAAGTCAGTACTGTAGTGATAGCAAAAGGCAGTACTGTAGTGATAGCAAAAGGCAGTACTGTAGTGATAGCAAAAGGCAGTACTGTAGTGATAGCAAAAGGCAGTACTGTAGTGATAGCAAAAGGCAGTACTGTAGTGATAGCAAAAGGCAGTACTGTAGTGATAGCAAAAGTCAGTACTGTAGTGATAGCAAAAGTCAGTACTGTAGTGATAGCAAAAGGCAGTACTGTAGTGATAGCAAAAGGCAGTACTGTAGTGATAGCAAAAGGCAGTACTGTAGTGATAGCAAAAGGCAGTACTGTAGTGATAGCAAAAGGCAGTACTGTAGTGATAGCAAAAGGCAGTACTGTAGTGATAGCAAAAGGCAGTACTGTAGTGATAGCAAAAGGCAGTACTGTAGTGATAGCAAAAGTCAGTACTGTAGTGATAGCAAATGTCAGTACTGTAGTGATAGCAAAAGTCAGTACTGTAGTGATAGCAAAAGTCAGTACTGTAGTGATAGCAAAAGTCAGTACTGTAGTGATAGCAAAAGTCAGTACTGTAGTGATAGCAAAAGGCAGTACTGTAGTGATAGCAAAAGTCAGTACTGTAGTGATAGCAAAAGGCAGTACTGTAGTGATAGCAAAAGTCAGTACTGTAGTGATAGCAAAAGTCAGTACTGTAGTGATAGCAAAAGTCAGTACTGTAGTGATAGCAAAAGTCAGTACTGTAGTGATAGCAAAAGTCAGTACTGTAGTGATAGCAAAAGTCAGTACTGTAGTGATAGCAAAAGTCAGTACTGTAGTGATAGCAAAAGTCAGTACTGTAGTGATAGCAAAAGTCAGTACTGTAGTGATAGCAAAAGTCAGTACTGTAGTGATAGCAAAAGTCAGTACTGTAGTGATAGCAAAAGTCAGTACTGTAGTGATAGCAAAAGTCAGTACTGTAGTGATAGCAAAAGTCAGTACTGTAGTGATAGCAAAAGGCAGTACTGTAGTGATAGCAAAGGTCAGTACTGTAGTGATAGCAAAAGTCAGTACTGTAGTGATAGCAAAAGTCAGTACTGTAGTGATAGCAAAAGTCAGTACTGTAGTGATAGCAAAAGTCAGTACTGTAGTGATAGCAAAAGGCAGTACTGTAGTGATAGCAAAAGGCAGTACTGTAGTGATAGCAAAAGTCAGTACTGTAGTGATAGCAAAAGGCAGTACTGTAGTGATAGCAAAAGTCAGTACTGTAGTGATAGCAAAAGTCAGTACTGTAGTGATAGCAAAAGTCAGTACTGTAGTGATAGCAAAAGTCAGTACTGTAGTGATAGCAAAAGTCAGTACTGTAGTGATAGCAAAAGGCAGTACTGTAGTGATAGCAAAAGGCAGTACTGTAGTGATAGCAAAAGGCAGTACTGTAGTGATAGCAAAAGTCAGTACTGTAGTGAAAGCAAAAGTCAGTACTGTAGTGATAGCAAAAGTCAGTACTGTAGTGATAGCAAAAGTCAGTACTGTAGTGATAGCAAAAGTCAGTACTGTAGTGATAGCAAAAGGCAGTACTGTAGTGATAGCAAAAGGCAGTACTGTAGTGATAGCAAAAGTCAGTACTGTAGTGATAGCAAAAGGCAGTACTGTAGTGATAGCAAAAGTCAGTGATAATAGTACATTCACCCAGCGGCGACAGTGGTCAAGATTCCAAGATGGGCAAGGTAAGGAATCAGGGATGATGAGCGATCCTCATATGAAAGTTGGTTCAGTTGTCATGAACATGCGTGAGGGATACGTAAAGACGCTATTGTCCTCTTATATACAATGTACTCAACCACTAGAAAGTTTCACACAGTGCCCTCACCAGGAATTTTAAAGAACTTTCCATAAAGACTACATCCGCACGCGGTGTACCGGACCGGAAGTTTACACATCAATCTAGCATCGAAATATAGTAACTTCCTGGCGACTGATCACAGTCCAAATGCAATGAGCGTCTACCGAATCTCAATAGAAACAATGCAACACAGCTGAAATCACTGTTAAACAATAAAATGCACTCAGTCTGCCATATAACGATAGCAAGTAATGAAATCAGGCAACCCCCGACGAGAAGATGTCTGCCTCGAGGTGCTTGGGGCGGCAGAATGATGTGAAGTGGTGTGTGTTTTATTGGTAGTGGGGCCGGCAGGGATGAACATCTAATCATTAATTCGAAACAAATCGATGCTTGAATATATTTGCATTAGGCCTTTTCCAAATAGCGATTTTACGCGTAACACTATCTGCGATAATTGCATATTTACTTGTTTACTATTTAAAGCTCTATTCCAGCTTTATGACGACAGTCTGTAAATAATCGAATCTGGACCAGACAATGCAATGATTGACATCATGAGCATCCATCCACACAGTTGGGATACGATGACATGCATCAATCAAGTCAGCGAGCCTGATCACCCGATCCCGTTACTCGCCTCTTACGAGAAGCATGGGCTGTTGAAGACCTATTCTTCACGGGTCTGTCTGCGATAAAGAGTAGGAGTTACTCAAATCACTTTGTGGAACGTGGGCCCTGCATTTAGCAGCATATCACCTGAACGAGGCGGAGAAATTGTACACAACGAAACTTCGTTAATCTGGATCAAGCCGTCCTTAGTACAATCGACCGGATTAACGAATTTCCCGATAAACAAATCAACGTTACTAAGATATGTACTTTACATATATACTTTTAATAAAAAGTAGGGGGTACTCAGAAATGACTTAAACTTCCTAAAATTGTAAAAGATATTCGTTTCTAGTAATAGTTGTATGATAATAATGAACGAATTGGGGACACATTTCAACCGATAGTGAAGTATGCTAGTAGATGTTATGATCTTAACGCTAGGGGTAAGATGGGAAATTTAAAAATTTCAACGATTTTTTATCAGTATTGCGTAATGGCAGCACGATTTGTCAATTGTTCATTCACTCGACGAGGCATACTGCGTATGGGTCTCCCAACGGGGTCCAAGGAGTCTCGCCCATTCCTCTTACAGCGCCTGGCCAAGTTCACCTGGTCGGCGGCCTATGACGTTAACGCATACGTCTCCCTATCAAGGAGGGTCTGGGCTCATTGCTGTCCATGGCAATCTATGGATGTTGTGCTGCTTGAGGTGAACACTGACGATTCTTGCATTGGGAGAACGAGCGTTGTCGTCCTGAAAGACAAAACGTCGGCCCACACGCCTAAGAAACGAGATAACAAAGAGTCTCAGTATGTTGGTGTCGTACTGCAGAGCCTTCCTTGGACAACATGTAGTGGGGTTTTCCCAGTCATGTGATGCCACACCATAACCGAACCACCGCCAAATCTGTCGTGATGTCTTAGCTTGATTTTGGCTTGACGCTCATTGCGACGTCGCGAGACACGACCACACCTGTCGACGAAGTGCGAAGTAAGTCGAGACTCATCCGACAACATGACACGTGACCAGCGACGATATGATGACCCCAGTCTCGACGTTGTGTACACCATTGACGTCTGTTGGCAAAATAGCGATTTGTAAGGGGCGGCACAACACGTGGCCGTCGAGTATGGAGGTGAGTTGCATGCAGACGATTTCTTATCCTGACCCGTAACTCCTACTCCTGTATTCTGATGAAAATTTGCCTCAGTTTGATTTGATGTTTCAGCTCAATTACGTAGAGCCTGGTTTCGGGCAATCAATCCTGTTCTCTGGACGCCCTAGCCTGGGACGCCCTGAAAAGGATCTATCGTCAATATTTTTGGTTTGCTGGTACCTTTTACATAGTCTGCTAATCACAGACTGTCAAACATTGAACGTGTTGGCCACTGTACGCTGACTTCTGCCAGTTTCCAGCATGCCAACATTCCGCAGACGCTCGACACGTGAAGGTCCAGGGTAGAATAGGTCTTCAGCAACCCATGCTTGCCGTAAAAGACGACTATGCTTCTCGTAAGAGGCGACTAACGGGATCGGGTGGTCAGGCTCGCTGACTTGGTTGATGAATGTCATCGATCCCAATTGCGTGGACCGATGCTCATGATATCAATCACTGTATTTACTGGATTGTCCAGACTCGATTATTTACAGACCGCCGTCATATAGCTGGAATATTGCTGAGTGCGACGTTAACCAACCAACCAACCAACCAACCAACCGCGCGTTGCAGACACCGCATCGCTTGTTTTAAACACAAACATTGAATGCAATCAAGTTAATTACAACTGTAAGATAAACAGAATCAATAAGATTGGCAGAAACAATGGTTCACAGAGATAACGCGAGCGTCCTTGAACGTGTCATATCTGGAATGACACAGGAAATACACACGAGTGTTGCGCTAGTGCGTGCGGCACGTGCAAACTATAGGATGTGTTTTGGTGTTATGTATTACAGAGATAAACGTTCTTGCATGTTTGTTGTCGACACTCATCTTTGTTCTAATACTTTTCGCTGGTCCTATAAGGTGGACGTGTGTTGAAGAATGATTTACCACAATCGAATTGAGCTACCATAAAGTTGTCTCGGCAATGTCGTTCTTCCCACGCCATCTATCGGTCAACACGCTACACAAGCCCGGCGCCTGGCACCAAGGGTGTTCACACAATGTCGCTATCCACTCAGCTGGTGCTTGACGTCTTCTCGGCTACTCCACAGCGTCGGCAAACACAACACTGGCGATATGGTCATCTCCGCAGTCATGAAACATGCATTGTTCTTTCCATGTGTGGAATTATATTGAAATATTAATGGAAAATCATGATATCTTTAGGAATGGTTTCAAGTTTTTGTTGGTGAGTATACCAATACGATTACCTGTATTGATTATTTATTTTGACTATTATTATGCAAGTGCTTAATTGAGCTGATCGTATTTAATCGGCAAGTATTTCTGAAGGACTTAACATTAAAATAAAGTTCAAAGAATGCAGATCGCAAAAATTTCGAAAAGGAATCTAGATTTTCTACGCAAAAACAAAAATGCGGACCAGTTAATCCATGCATATTTAAAACGCTAGCACAAGCATCGAGTGGGTTTAAAGCTTCATTGGTCATAAATATCGGTAATATTTTTTTTCGTTATTGTTTGCCGAGAATGGCGAAAATTCATATACACATTTGGAAGTCCTTCTCGATTCCAAAGCGTAGTTAATTTTAACAGAATACCTCCACAGCCGCGGGCAGTATTGCACATAACCATCCATGTTTAGTTAGATACCAAATTGAAACGCTAGCTTTGTTAGGTCTATTTTTCTGTTTGTTTTATATGCATGTTTGTATCAAATGTTCTATATTCTCGATAGATTTCTTGTCTTTGTATCCAAAGGTGAGATTATATTCACATCGGCTCCACGTCGTTTCAAGGTAGTCAAGGAAATTAATATGGATTTACTATTGTCATTCCATGCACTTTAAAATGGTGTCGGGTACATTTCACAGTACGGGTCATTCCAGTGATGAATCTACAAACGGTAAACAAAGTATCGCAAGTGTAATGAGTGAGTGAGTGGGTTTGGTTTCACGCCGCTTTTTACAGTATTCCAGTTATATCACGGCGTGTCAGCTTAATGTGGGAGGAAAGCCCGAAGTGATGCAGGTCTTAGACGTTTACCACTTCGGTGAAACCCACGAGCACGGGTATGGTGCTGACAAACCTTGAAGCATAATCGGGGCGAAGCGGGATTCGAACCCACAATCATAGGTTTCTGGTGTGTCCAAGGGACGCAACTCTGCACAGCGAATCGCGGCGCCTTAGACGACTGGTCCACCCGTGCCCCCGCAAGTGTAGGGATGTAACCTGAGACAGTAAAGTCCATGGGCATAAGAATCTCCAAGTTGGGCCAGTAAACTGACAGACTAGTTACATAATCGCGACCCGTGAAGATCCGGGTTAGAATAGGTCTTCAGCAACCCATGCTTGCCGTAAAAGGCGTCTATGCTTGTCGTAAGAGGCGACTAACGGGATCGGCTGGCTAGGCTCGCTGACTTGGTTGATACATGTATCCCAATTGCGTGGATCGATGCTCATGATGTCAATCATTGGATTGTCTGGTCCAGACTCGATTATTTACAGACCGCCGTCAGATAGCTGGAATATTTCTGAGTGCGGCGTTAAACAACAAACAAACAACAACATAATCGCATAATTATGTATTCACCTACATTTTGGTTATAAACAAATGTCACGACACGGCAATACATTGTGTAGTATACACACATACGGCAATAGCTCTGCGTGTTCATACTTACATACCTACGGGGGCGGTCAGGTAGCCTAGTGGTTAAAGCGTTTGCTCGTCACGCCGAAGAACCGGGTTCGATTCCCCACATGGGTACAATGTGTGAAGCCCACTTCTGGTGTCCCCCGCCGTGATATTGCTGGAATATTGCTAAAAGCTGCGTAAAACCAAACTCACTCACTCAGTCACTACATACTTACGTATACCACTCAAAAGAAGTTAAAGAACACCAATTCTTTTACTTTTCCATAGTCAATCTGTCATGGCACGACAGATTAACTGTAGTAGTATAAAAAAATCGGGTGTTCTTTTACTTCTTTTGAGTAGTATATGTATGGTTAATCAGTTACATTGCTTGCCAGTAATACGTTGGCGCTGGCCAAGCACTAAAGTAAACAGAGTATAGGTTTCACTGAGGAATATGCTTCTGTAATATATGACAGTTGTATGTTTAATTCTTCTGATTTTATTGCAGATTTTCTTCTCGCCGATCGCCGTTTGTGGTACGTGTTGCAACACTGTTATATTCATAGACTAAACCTTTTATTGTCGATTGATAGCCTTCATTTATGAAGATAGATATTGAAAATATGATATGAGTTGAAATGTTTTCTTAGTAGTTTGAAGACCCTTGGTATGTCAGCTCTTTGTGATCGATCAAAAAAGGTGCTACTTATCCATTGTTTCTGTGTGCATGGAAACTTATGCAGAATAATCAAAGTCCAAAAGAATTCTGTCCCAGACTTACGTGTGACGTCCATATCCAGTCCAGGGCGAGACATTTAATTAGTTCTTTGAGTTAAATTGTCTTTGTGTAATAAGGGTATTATTGATATACATCAACGACATAAACACTTCAAATGATAACCTTGAACAAAAGCTGCTGTAGTGCCAATATCCCGGGGTCTCCCCTTTATTTCTTGCACATACTTTAAATATATTGTTTTTTGTTGTTGTTTTGTTTTGTTTTGTTTTTTGGTTTTTTGGGGGGTTGTTGTTTTGTTTTGGTTTTTTTTGGTTGTTTTTTTTTTGGGTGGGGAGGGGTGGGGTGGGGGGTGGGGGGTAATTAATTTATTACAGTGGTATTTCCTAATTTCTAAATTTCCCAGAACGAGGCCTACATTACCGTGCTATTTTTAGCGTCTCTGGTTTGTCTGCACACCAATCCTGACTGGCAGTTACAAAACTGGCGTCGTGTGCAGAAAGGAATTCCAATGTGACGTTGATTGGTCATGTGTTACTTTAAGTCTTCCAGCCGTTTGGTAAAGCACGGCTTGGGCTATACATGCATGTTTGGGGTTTTAATGGTTTGACAACACGGGGCAATGTTTTCTTAACCACATAGACATTTATATATTTCTAGTATAGAGGATTAACACAAGGTGAGAATAGTTCAGTAAAACAATTTTAAACACAACAAGAAATATATATGTCGTTTTCTTAACAAGATCACATAGTATGAGAAAATTGCCCTCATCTCAAAACGCCATATATAAACTACATTTTATGCGTAAAATCCTTTGAACCAGATTCTCAAATAAGTGTTCAGATATAGAAAAAACGGTAAGAGTTAGATTCTATAGAGTCAAGGAACAACGATTTGATGTGCCCAATAGAGTGATGAATAGATTAGTGACAAAATATTGGTTACCCAATGAAAAATGTAATAACCAAATTAAATAGAAACCTTCGAGTAAAAACTCAATTGCTCAAAAAGTTATCTGGAGCTCTGAATGGTTTCTCAGTACCATTCTGTTGCTCCTGGCATTTACCTGGTCGTAAATTTCTAAATCTGTATCACTTCGGATGTTCTCCCTAAGGCCATGATATTACATGTCACTCACTGACTCAACCAAACAAAGGGCGTCACGTGGTCCCGTGTACGCGTCACCCACACGGTAAGGTGAAGCCCCGTTTGTCGGGGAGAGTAGGTGGGTGGGTGACCTCGTACGGCAGCTTGACTCCTGGGAGTGTCTAGATTCAGCCCCGCCCCACACTGAACCACGTGTTGTACCTGTGGTGTCACCCGTGACAGTCAGGGTTAGAATAGGTCTTCAGCAACCCATGCTTGCAGGAATAGGCGACTGACGGGATCGGGTGGTCAGGCTCGCTGACTTGGTTGATGCATGTCAACGTATCCCAATTGCGTGGATCCATGCTCGTGATGTCATTCACTGGATTGTCTGGTCCAGATTGCCTCTCTTCACGCAGCAGTGAATGGGTACCTAGTAGGATACCATGGTAATGTTATCTTCCTACCGACCAAGCTTGGATTGTATTCCCCTCAGGGAGCTGAGATTGAAAAGAAATCGAGTGAGCACTGAATAATTGTAATGTAAAGGCGCTATATTATTATGATTATGATTATGATTATTATTATTAGTAGTAGTGGTGGTAGTAGGGTAGTAATAGTAGTAGTAGTAGTAGGCTAGTACAGATGCTGTAATAGCCATGTGTGTTTGTGCAGTGGTAGTAGCAGTAGTAGTAGTAGTAGTAGTAGTAGTAGTAGCAATAGTAGCAGTGGTGGTAGGTGGGTGTAGTAGTACAACTAGTAGTAGTAGTAGCAGCAGTAGTAGTGGTAGTAGTAGCAGTAGTAATAGCAGTAGTAGTAGTAGTAATAGTAGCAGTAGTAGTAGTAGTAGTAGTAGCAGTAGTAGTAGTAATAGTAGTAGCAGTGGTAGTAGTAGTAGTAGTAGTAGTAATAGTAGTAGCAGTGGTAGTAGCAGTAGTAGTAGTAGCAGTGGTAGTAGTAGTAGTAGTAGTAGCAGTAGTAGTAGTAGTAGCAGTAGTAATAGTAGTAGCAGTGGTAGTGGTAGTAGTAGTAGTAGTAGTAGAGTACAGATGTTGTAATCGCCATGTGTGTTTGTGCAGGGTTATGCCGTGACACAGTGGTAGTTGTAGTAGCAGTAGTAGTAGTAGTAGAGTACAGATGTTGTAATCGCCAGGTGTGTTTGTGCAGGATTATGCCGTGACACAGTGGTAGTTGTAGTAGTAGTAGTAGTAGTAGTAGTAGTAGTAGTAGTAGAGTACACATGTTGTGTTTGTGCAGGGCTATGCCGTGACACAGACGCCAGATGCTACCCCGCCGTGGGGGACCAGGGCTGGTACGCGGAGTGGTGCGACGGAACCCACTCCTTCGTCATCAACGGTTGTCCTTACATGTGTGCCCTATGCAGTGAGTCTTTGCCTTGACGTACATGATTGGCCGGTAACAGATATGTAATAGTAAAAAAATCATGAGGCGCCGGAAGAACTACAATCATTTTAAATAAATTCTCACATGCGCCATGTGTGCAATGTGTGAGGTGAATGAAAAGGCCGATATAAATGATTGTAAGGGTATTTTAATGATTTTTGTTATTCTCTGATTATCAGTGTGTATGGTGACATCGCAGTGGTTTGCTTACATCGGATTTTGTGGCTACTGAACAAAATATTTACTAACTCACTACATATGTTAAAAGTGATGTGAGCTTAAATGGAGCTTTACGGCACGTTCAAGATTATTGCACTTATATAGCGACTTGCATGCATGCACGCGTGTGTGTGTGTGTTTGTGTTTGTGTGTGTGTGTGTGTGTGTGTTTGTGGCTGCTTGTACTAGTCTGAACTAATGCCGATTTAAAAGTTCTAGCCCACTGAGATACCACGTCGCAGTTTAACATGAATACCCTACTCAGACACAGTATACTGCCTCCAAGCCGACCAGTCCATGTTTTAGCCCCTTAATTATATATAATACCGAGATAAAGATAAATGTTGATATATATTCATGAGTTTCGTAAAAGCTACCTGCCAATCCCGCTTCCGATATATGTACGCACAAAAACATCCTGTGCGGTTCTCCAGGCTATATGTGAACGGCAGGTAACATAATTCCCCTGGGTGGCGAGGATGTAACTACTTTACCTTTTCCAGAGCACGAGCTGTACACTGAAGCTAATCTCTACTTCCCGTTCGATGAGATCAAGGCTGGAGCTGTAAGTAACTAAGATCCCGTCATGCCTACTGTGATTAGTCTGTTTCTGGTTTCCATGTTCGGCCCTGCATGTCAGGTCTGTATTTAATTCGGTGGTAAGAGGCACTGTCTCAGTCGTCTAAGGCGCCGCGATTCACTGTGCAGAGTGGGCACGCCAGAAACCTATGATTGTGGGTTCAAAACCCGGTTCGCCCCGATTATGTTTCTATGTTTTTCAGCACCATACCCGTGCTCTTGGTTTTCACCGAAGTGGTAAACGTCTGAGACGTCGGGCTTTCCTCCCACATTAAGCTGACACGCCGTGATATAACTGGAATACTGTTCAAAGCGGCGTTAAACCCAACTCATTCACTAATTCGGCTGTTATCTTCGTCATTCCTAGGACAGCAATGAAGTAGTGATCGCACACCGGCGTATCCCTCCGCGAATAGTTACTGCAACATGATGGCCGATTGTTAGAAACCCTTTTTGCGGGTAATAATACCATACATACAGTCAAATCGGACAACATGTATGTAACGACCAGAATGTATTGGGTAATGTAATAGTCACGTGAACGAGTGAACTTAAGGATTCCAAATCTCCCATGGAGCTGAACGAGATGGCCTTTGTGATGAAGTGAGCAAAATGGTCTTTATGCAGGGCTGAAATACAACCAAGGGCGGATAACTCTAAACCTGTTAGTTACCGTGTCACAATCAGCATACAATATATTTTAGCCACGGTAGAATACGGTAAAAATTAGTCACGGTAGCATGTTTTAGTCACGGTAGAATACACTATGTTTTAGTGACGGTAGCATGAAGTGAATTTTAGTCACGGTAGCATAACCGAACATTGATAATAATTATGATTGTAGGGTACTTGTTCCATAAAGCTCTCTCAGCGCTAAGGAGATTGTAACATAGGCCTACGACAGTCGTAGTGCTAAGGTAGCCATGGACTAAAAGGTCTGACAGATTGACCACCCGTCAAGTCGGCAGTCCCAGGTGGCTTCACAAACTGGTAATGCCCATTGACCATGACACAATTTACATTGCAAACAGCTGTATATCTCTCAGGGATGACAATTACTTCACTTATTGTACAAACACGGGGAATCGAACCTGGGCGTTCGGCGAGACGAGCGAAAGCTTTAACCACGGAGCTACCCCACCACCCCTAAGCAGCTGAGGCGATATTTCTTAAGTATAAGGGTATTGCTGCAGCCGATAACGGGGACTTTGTAATTGTGTGAATGAATTTAGTTTTCAGAAAGTCAAACAAAGGGCCTCCGGCAAACGGAAGTGGTCAGTGAGCACGTGACCGTTGACCCTAGTGGGCGGTCTGGCGGGATGCTGTCCATCAATTCTTCTGAATGCCTGGACATTGGCTCGTTCGCTGGTGAGTCACTCCTTTGTGAGTCACTTTTGTCAAGTGTCAGTGTAACCTCTTTAATCTGGACGGTCAACCCTCCCATTGAAGTCGTCCAGAATAACACATTAACTAACCACGGGTATTTTGTAAATCTTGTATATAAATGTGTTGCAACATTATCACCCAGAATGCAGGTTCCGGACTATCGGGGTTTTAAGGTACAGGGGAACCCGTTTTTTTCCTGATAGGAGTGAGTATATTTCAGTAATATCATGGCGGAGGACACCAGAAATGGGCTTCACACATTGTACCCATGTCGGGAATCGAACCCGGGTCTTCGGCGTGACGAGCGACCGCTTTAACCACTAGGCTACCCGACCGCCCCTCTTTGATTAGACAAACGTTCCAAACAATATTCGCCCGGGCAGCTGGGGTTTTCCATCGTATGGGGTCCATAGTATCGAGGTTTCACTGTATATGGCAAACGTACTTCAAACTTTAATGTCTCATATACATGAAAAATAGACATCTTGTATTCGCGGAAATACAAACTCTATGTTTTCCCTGGGAATAGATCAAATGTATCTAAAAAAAACATGTTATGTAGGGACCGACTGTTTGATATTCTGGCAGGTCAGGGCTGGGGTGTAGGGTGTTGTTAAGATGCGGGTTTTGTGAACAACTTTATTTGTTCCAGAAAAAAATGGAAAGAAAAAAAATGTTCTCAAGTGTTACCCCTCAATATACAAACATATATTGTTGGCAGGACAGGCTAGCATCCCCTATATCTCCGGGACTCGCATTTCGGTAAGCCTACTCTAGCCCCCAGGTCCATTCCCTTACATCCCATGAACTTGATTTTTATGGACATTTTACCGACCAATCAACCGTCGAGATAGGGAACCATGTAAAGGAACGGGAGGAATTGCCACCGACAGCTTTAATGTTCACGAAGTCATCCTTTCAATCAAACGGATTAAAGAGGGCTTTCTTTTGCGTGTCTGTCAGTTTTTCAATGTTGAATTTCTCACAAACTGTATCTTAAGCAATAGGACTGGCCGCCATCTTGTTGATATTACCAACCCAACATTGAGGCTTGTTTGTAACTCGCATTCTGATTGGTTCTTTAGACATTGGCAGATGAAAAGGGCGGGTAATTTGAGAACCACGTGGGCTTGTGTTGGTTTACACAAATGCGAGCCCTTGGGGTATAGAGGATGGGCAGACTGGATGTCGTTAGAGAATCTCCACTCCTCTTAAGAAACAAATACACCCCACATCCACCCTCAAATGGGTGCCTCATGCGATAATTGTTCTACAAGGGACGTGCGTGAGCGACCCAGGGCTCTGCTCATCAGGAGTGACATATGGCTTCTTCTTCAACATGCTGCGCGCGCCGGACTCTGACATAACCATCCTTACTTCCGGTGAGTAACTTTTTTGTTCTTGAGAAAATGTAAATGTAAAATATGTTAATTAAAGCATTGATATTGTGTCAGTAGGTATATGAGGTGAGGTGAAATGGGGTTTAACTTCGCGTCCACGATTATTGCACTCATATAGAGACGTGCATGCTCGTGTGTGGCTGCTTGTACTAGTCCGGACTGAAGCCGATTTATTGTGCTAGCGAGATGCCATGTCGCAGTTAACATGAATACCCCAGTATACTGACTCCGAGCCGACCAGTCCTTGTTTAAGCCCGTTAATGCCGAGCGCCAGACAGGGTAACAACAAGTACCATCTTTTAACATCTTTTGGTATGACGCGGCCGGTGATCTAACCCTGGACCTTCCGCTCTCCAGGCGGACACTCTACCACTTGACCACGGAAGCAGTCGTAGGTATAGGACAAAGAATGGGTTTTGGATGTCAACCACTGGATTGTCTGGTCCAGACTCGATTATTTACAGACCGCTGTCATATAGCTGGAATACTGCTGAGTACGGCGTTAAACAACAAACCAATCAACCGGTTGCCTTCATAGTTCTCACAGTGTCACACTGCCAAGTCCATGTTGTCGGACTTTCATTTTTGCTGAAGCCTCGGTGGCTGAGTGGGTTAGATGGCTGATTTTGTGTGCTGGCGACTAGGTGCCTCACTCTGGTAGTGTGGGTTCGAATCCCCGGGTGAGACTCAACCCCAAAAGTACTAGAATCTGTACTTTACTAAGAAAGTGTTATCCCAAACATAATATTTGTTACATCTGACCACTGTCCGCCAAAAGAAACGCGAATACCATACATGTTAGGTCTTTGAAAGGCATTTAGAAGTGATACACGTAAGGAAGAGAATATATGGATGTCAACTTCTTTATATGAGGAACACAACGTATCGAAGTATATACTTACTCCTTCATCAGGTGAATGAATGCCATGAGGCAGAGAGCATATATATTTACATGTAAGGACAACAAAATTAATAAGATAACAAAAGGTGGAAAATAACAAAGGGTACAAGCTGACAAAGGCAGCCAACAGATGATAGGCGCTGATAACACTTGGCTGATTGTTAGTTTTGTCATTAACAGTGGAAACATCTCTTCTTAACTTACATACTTCTCTACATGTTTCTATGGTTCGCTTTTCCTTGGGCGGTGGGTATATTTATGATACCAAGCCCTTGACATCCAAGCCCGGAAGTTGCTGTTCGTAGGGCAGGTCGCTCTTCTGTTTCGCTGACACCAGCAGATCCGTTTGTAGGTGCGTCAGTTTTACCAATTAACGTTGAACTCTATCTTCATGCGATTCCAAGGGGCACACGGACCGTCTCGGGGGGTGTACTTCGGCTACAACGCGTCAAGCAGCGAGTTCCAGATGACGCTGAAGACTTCCACAGCCGTATACAGCGTACAGATTCCTGAACACAACATAAACCTTACCCGGACTCTGCTAGTGCACCTCGCTTTCACCTGGAGCCCATCTTCAGGTAGGTGGACATTCGCTGACCCTTACCTGGACACAGAAGATAGGTGGACATTCGCTTACCCTTACCTGGACACAGCAGATAGATGGACATTCGCTTACCCTTACCTGGACACAGAAGATAGGTGGACATTCGCTGACCCTTACCTGGACACAGCAGATAGGTGGACATACGCTGACCCTTACCTCGACACAGCAGATAGGTGGACATTCGCTGACCCTCACCTGGACACAGCAGATAGGTGGACATTCGCTGACCCTTACCTCGACACAGCAGATAGGTGGACATACGCTGACCCTTACCTGGAGTCCATCTTCAGGTAGGTGGACATTCGCTGACCCTTACCTCGACACAGCAGATAGGTGGACATTCGCTGACCCTTACCTGGACACAGAAGATAGGTGAACATTCGCTGACCCTTACCTGGACACAGCAGATAGGTGGACATACGCTGACCCTAACCTGGAGTCCATCTTCAGGTAGGTGGACATTCGCTGACCCTTACCTGGACACAGCAGATAGGTGGACATACGCTGACCCTTACCTCGACACAGCAGATAGGTGGACATTCGCTGACCCTCACCTGGACACAGCAGATAGATGGACATTCGCTGACCCTTACCTGGACACAGAAGATAGGTGGACATTCGCTGACCCTTACCTCGACACAGCAGATAGGTGGACATACGCTGACCCTTACCTGGAGTCCATCTTAAGGTAGGTGGACATTCGCTGACCCTTACCTCGACACAGCAAATAGGTGGACATTCGCTTACCCTTACCTGGACACAGCAGATAGGTGGACATTCGCTGACTCTTACCTGGACACAGCAGATAGGTGGACATACGCTGACCCTTACCTGGACACAGCAGATAGGTGGACATACGCTGACCCTTACCTCGACACAGCAGATAGGTGGACATTCGCTGACCCTTTCCTGGACACAGCAGATAGGTGGACATTCGCTGACCCTTACCTGGACACAGCAGATAGGTGGACATTCGCTGACCCTTACCTGGACACAGCAGATAGGTGGACATACGCTGACCCTTACCTCGACACAGCAGATAGGTGGACATTCGCTGACCTTCACCTGGACACTACGGGTGCATCTCGTGTAGTTGAAATAATAATAGCAGAGGAAGTCCCTGCAGTTGAATTTGATTATTGCAATATATCTATTTGTCGAGAAATGAACAAACTATTCATTCTACTGTTTACCGGACGTGATAAACATTTTGTTCCTAGACTCCCAACACTTCTGCCTAAGATAGCGTAATTTGACTCTGTTTCAGATGTTAAGGTGTATGTTGATGGAGATGCTGTGAAGTTCGCCACGGCAGTGAACCAGCCGACAATGAGCGACTCCTACAACAAGCTCATGATTGGCTGCAAGGAGTTAGGGTACAGCTTAGGAGTGAGTGAGTGAGTGAGTGAATTGCGTTTAACGCCGCTTTTAACAGTATTCCAGTTATATCACGGCGTGTCAGCTTAATGTGGGAGGAAAGCCCGAAGTGATGCAGGTCTCGGAGGTTTATCACTTCGGTGAAACCCACGAGCACGGTCATGGTACTGACAAACCTAGAAACATAATCTGGGATTCGAACCCACAATCATAGGTTTCTGGCGTGCCCAAGGGTCGCAACTCTGCACAGCGAATCGTGGCGCCCTAGACGACTTGGCCACCCGTGCCCCCTACAGATTAGGAACATGACTGACTACATACTGTATGGATCTGAGCAAATCAAAGCACAGCTAATGGAATTTGTACAATACGATGTCATCATTTGATTATTTGTAGTAGATTTATATCGGACAATTACCACCCAATCATTCCTCGTTTATCCATTTTCATTTTACGTCCATTCCAGTAGGATAAGTACCCTGGGTAAAGTCCCCGAATATAAGGTCCCAAAGGTCGACTCTAGTTGGACAGGTTTTTACATACCTGACCCCCGGTCGGGATTCCGGCATCTTCCCGAGGCAGGGGCGTTAACTGACTGTAAAACTCCAGTTTCCACCCTTGCCGATCTTAGCGCCACCAGTGGCTATTACGAGTTATGTATCTTATATGTCCTTCCTACTGACCAATCAGATTCCATCTCTCATATCACTTGAATTTGCTTTAAACAATTTTGCGGCGCCCAGTCAAGACGATCTGATCGATAATCAAGATCTGTATTTTATTAAAACCGGTCTTACCCCACGAAATGCATTAAATCACTTGAGCACCTTGACTCAAAACATGAATAAATTTGGAAAATATCTGTCGACGCCCAGTTGACGGTACACATGCTTTGCAAATCCTGCAGTCGACCGAAATAAGCACTTTGTAATGCATGTTGTTTAAGAACCGGATGTCTAGTTCGTTACGCGATTTTGATTGGACTTTGCATAGACTCGTTAGTCCAGCCAAATTGTAATTCCGGAATTCCAGCCTTGTTCGGCAAGGGTTGAAACTGGATTTTTTTGGTCATTAACGCCCTTGCCTCGGGAAGATGGGATTCCGGGTACACTAGGTCATCTAGCTTGCTCACGCTTTCAGCCATCGGTTTGCCTGATCCAGATCTGATTGCCGATTGCGGCATAAAACACCATTCACTTAATACCTCAAATTAGGAAGGCGCTAGTCTTAAAAGGGGTCTACACTGCAAGGACTCACCAAGAGCGCAATCCTATTTGCACTGTCACATCTCATACGCGCTATTGATGCGTGTCATCGTATCCGAATTGCGTAGATCGATGCTCATGATATCAGTCACTGGGTTGTCTGGTCCAGACTCGATTATTTACAGATCGCCGTCATTTGGCTGGAATAATACTGACTGTGGCTTTAAACAACAAACAAACAAATCATACGCGCTATCGGTAGATCGCATGGTAATTTCGTTCTATTGGGCAGTAAGGTGGGAAGGTAAAACCATGGCCCATGTCGGTCGTCGTGTTGGGTGGATCTACAGGGAATGATGGTTGGTGGGGATTTGTCTTCCAGTGACAAGTGGGGCGAGTACCTCAAGGTGGATGAGCTGGCGTTGTGGAGGCGGGAGCTGACTGCGATGGAGGTCCGCATGATCAGCCACCCAGGTACAGGGGTCAGGGGTCAGGGGTCAGCTCCGTCACACGGCATCTTTGACATCATACACTTACACATAAACATTGTCGTATAAGGAATGTCCCCTAGCTTATTCCAGGCATTGAACCATGGTTGTCAAGGTAACTTGTAAATTAGGAACAATGAACGATTAGGGCAAAACAAGAATAATCGTGCTTCAGGTTGCATGTGTTTACTTTATTATGCAAATTGTGCGAGTGACGGGTGATACCGGCAGGGCAGGACACACTTACCCTTTTTGTCGTACACTTATTTTCAGTGATCCATTCATATAATTGTCACCTCTTTTTTGCCTTTTACATCCAGTGGAATCTATTTCGTTAAATCATCGAGAGTATTTGGCGGTGACTTTTTAAATTTAACATAATATATGGGTCGGTAGATTAATATCATGCGTTCTCTTTATTACGAGCTGAAGATAATAAGTGAAATTTTAGTTTGGTCTTAAAATTTCTTTTTCTTAAAAATAAATGGAAACAATTGTTAATGTGGCTGAGTCATCCTCAGCGTGAATATTTCTAGTTTCAGATGTGGACACGAGTACCGGAAGTACGCCGCAGCCTACAACAATGGCCGCCAGTGTACGTAGAACATGTTACCTGTAGATTCCCTACCGTACGGATCATTTACTCTCCCGTTTACGCAATAAATTGATATATAGACAAGAAGGTAAAATATTTATATTTTAGTAAACGGCTTCGACAAGTTTATACATTGAACAGGATAAGGCTAAATGTGTCAAATATCCCCTATTAAGAGATATTCATGAAGCTAAGAAAGCCAAAGTTTTCCGTTACATTAAAACTTAACATTAATAGTGCCCTTTCTGACCCGATATGTAGCATCACGTGACCACCGCCGTCGTGAACACCCCGGACACGTTGTCAGCGTTCCTGGCGTTCAGCAGCAGCGTCAAGGAAACGCTGAACAGTAGCAGCGTGGTGGACGTCAGCAACATCCTCGACAGTCTGTCCACAACATCGCTCATAGGAACCCTCTCCAACGACGACACCGCACACCTGATCTCGGTAACACTAAGCATACATTTTAATCCTGTCCGCATTTACAGAAATCATTATTACGGAGTAAATGTCCTTTGTTTATATGTGAACTTTCCTACAATCCTCATGTATGTACATGTTAAGCTAATCATCTTTTGAATACTCTTCTATGCATGCTGAGTTTTATACACATTTAGAGGACACTGGTGGCCCAATGGTCTAAGGTGTCGCACTTTGCTGTGCAGAGAAAACCTGTGATCGTGGGTTCGAATCCCAGTTCTCGCTGATTTTGCTTCTAGGTTTGTCATCACCATATCCGTACTCTCGGGTTTCACCAAAGTGGTAAACGTCTGAGATCTGCATCACTTCGGGCTTTCCTCCCACATTAAACAGACACGCCGTGAAGTAACAGGGACACTGATCAAACACGTTCAACTCAACTCGTTTTTTCGGAGTGATTATTGCAGGAATGTGTAGCATCCCTCCACTATTGTTATATTAATACGATAGATGATGATGATGAACTTTACCTCCCCGAAATCCTCGACTTTCGCCGACATAATGTTAAACGCGATCAGCCCTCAACTTCTCCTTTGGACCAGTAGTGCCGTCGTATTAGGTCTACTTTAACCTTAAAATTCCATATCTCATTTAAATCAGATCTTGTTTCACTAAACAAAGATCTGAGGACATCCCATTACAGGTCACGTCAGAACGACAATTCGAAAACTTTGTTGGACCAAAGACATGACTAACAAGAAGTCGACATTAGCCAATCAGAAATCAGCTTCACGGCACTAGATTTCAAACTGGCGAGGCCCCGGAAGGTGTCAAGCCGAGTGCGGCGTTAAACAACAAACAAACATTTAAATTTACGAGCGCTTCAATCTGCTGCCACTAAAAAATCATCAAAAATTAAGTTACAATACAACTTCTGTCATATGATATACCGAACAATTTATATGGAAACGGCTATCTACAATTAAAGGTATATTGTGATGTACCCTTGATTCCTTAATACAGACCTTTATAAATCCGGACGATTTTATTGAAGCGGCACCGACCGATGAATGACACGGTTTATGATGAATTACATGTTTTCTTGTTTTAAATAGATTTAATTTCGACTATTATGAATTCCAAAATGTCTGCCTCAGAATACTTTCAATACAGACAATCCGCCATCCTCACCCAACACAATGTGCCTCAATACGAGGGTCTCGTTCCAATATACCTCTTTCTCCCATTTTAATGTCGGCTTAGGCTGAGATTTCTTTGTAGAATAACTCTCAGCATGACATACAATGAAACCTCGTGAATCCGGACGCTTAATAAATGACGTGAACAGAATCATGTTAATTGGTGATATATAAATTTTTCAATCAAGATTTCCGGAATGTGGTGTTTCCGGATTAACAGGGTCCGGTCAGACTGCTATGCAGAATAACACCCAGCATGATATACAATGAAACCTCGAGAATCCGGACGCTAAATGAATCATGTGAACAGAATTATGTTAATTGGTGATATAAACACTTTTTTTTATCAAGATTGTCCGGAATGTGGGGTTTCCGGATTAACAGAGTCCGATCAAACGAGGTTCCACTGTATTGTTATTTAAATGTATTTGTCTAATGCAGAGCGTCAGCGACATTGTCGACACCCTCCTGCGGCCCGACAACCACGACATCTGGGAACATGTCTCAGAAACTGTATGTCCTTAACGCAATCTTACTATACCCTTTATTCCCCTATACCCTTTATTCCTCTGGGGCGGTCGGGTAGCCAAGTGGTTAAAGCGTTCGCTCGTCACGCCGAAGACCCGGGTTCGATTCCCGACATGGGTACAATGTGTGAAGCCCATTTCTGGTGTCCCCCGCCGTGATATTGCTGGAATATTGCTAAAAGCGGCGTAAAACCATACTCACTCACTCACTCACTTTATTCCTCTCCAAAGGGGCGGTGGGGTAGCCTAATGGTTAAAGAGTTCGCTCGTAAAGCCGAAGACCCGGATTTGATTCCCAACATGGGTACAATGTGTGAAAACCATTTCTGTGATATTGTTGATATATTGCGTTGGAATATAACAGCGGTGTAAAATAATACACATTCTCTGCTATTCAGCGAACGCCGCACGGAATAAAGGAAAAATGTTTCAGGAATACTTCAAAATATTATTGATCACTTAATATACCCGTGAATACGTACCTTGACAACATATATATATATATATATATTAAATAAACATGATCTAAATATGTGTGCTTATGTGGTTAACAATGTTTTCAAGTATTTTCATTTTTATCAACTGAATGCGTATTATTTATTTCCTTCCGTCTGTCTTTTATCCGGATCCTTTGAAAATATTAGGAAATGCTAATCTTTTGAAGATAAACACAAACATCTACACACGTTTCTTCATTGCCCCCTTTTCGTGAAAGCAGTTATTGTTGAATTTGAAGAAGAATTACATCCGTAGATATATTCTAATGAAACTTTAATTACAATATCAACATATCAAAAATGTGTTTAAAATGTTTTATTTTGGTCTAGAAAATACGCCAATATCAGCACGAATAAATACAGAAGCTTTGTTTCTGATTAATGTGGTACTTCAATCGTTTCCATACATTAGAAATAGTCGTTCATTCAGTTTTGCCCTCACTCTATGAAGGTTTATACGCCAATGAAATATACAGATGTTCCTCATAGAAATGTTCGAAAACTGAATTTCCGGAATAAGGAAGTTTAACTGTGTTTCTACTAAAAGGACCCCGGGGTGCTACCGTCTCTGGTGCAGTCTGTGGACAATGTCCTGGGGAAGATCACCGACCACCTCCTCGACGGGGACACCGACATCAACATCCAACACAGGAGAGACAACTTCGGTAAGCTTCCACTTGTCCACTATACCACAGTATCCTCTGTAACATGCAAGTTCTCGCTGCCGCTAATACCCCCATTACACCGGACGGCGACCTTTCTGCGACCGTTCTGCGTTCTTAAGTTTTGCCAGGTCGGCGTTGAAGGCAGAGGGGTCGCAGAACGGTCGCGTAGAGCGCACAAGGGAGGCAGAGGGAACGCTCAGCCATCGCCAAGAGCGCCACTGTCGCTGAAAAGTTTTGAACCTGCTTAAAACAGTCGCAGTGAGATCGCCGTCGATGTAAGTCGCTCGAAGGAGGCAGAACGGAGGCAGAGGGAACGCAGAAAGGAGGCAGAGGCATCGCTGAAAGGTCGTTGGGCGATCGCCATTGGTCGTAGAGGGGTGGCAGCGCGGTAGTTAGTTGCAATAAGGAGGCAGAGGGGAGGCAGAGGGAACGCAGAGGAAACGCAGAGGAGACGCAGAGGGAGCGCAGAGATATCGCACAGTGAACGCTTAGGTCGTTCAGGGAACGCAGTGACATTGACAAAAGTAACATATTTAGTCGCAGAAAGAAGGCAGAACGGTCGTAGGAGCGATTACACCAAAAGAGAGTTTTCTTGAGTATAGCGACCCCACTGCGCTCTAGTCAAATTTTAGGACGCAGAAGGAGCGCAGAGCGATCGCCGTTTGGTGTAATGGCCCCTTAAACAAAGATCCGAGGACATCCTATTACGGCATTCGTAACTAACTCGTGTTATTCCGGGACAAGCCGAATAGCGACTCGTGCCCTTCTCATGGCCATTTCTGCGACCGGGTTCCGTCTTAGCGCAAACGGGCATACCTAAAACAATTGTCAAATCGTTGTGTAATGGTTCACATATATTTCCCCATATATTATATATATTTCAGATGCAATTTAAAACATATCGGGACATGCGGAATTATACAATATGATTGAACACATTTAACTGTGTCTGGGGTATATTTTTAGATGCAAGACATATGTAAAATCAAAAATTATTTCTGAGGGATTCTTTGACGAAGAACTTGAAATCATACGCGCATTCTGATTGGTTTGTCGTATTTTCGCACATAACATTCATCGATAGGGGGACGAGTCTTCTTGCAGGTTACGGAAAGGGGCGAGTGGTCACGAATGCCCATTACGGGTCACGTCAGAACGACGTTTCGCGAACTTTGACCGGCCACTGAAATGACTAACAAGAAGTCGACAACAGCCTATAGAAAGCAGCTTTCTCGAGCTTTACGGCACTTGTTTCAACCTGGCAACTTCCATTTCAGACTACGCTTGAAAAATATGTTGACGCAGTTCTCGATTAAAATTGTGAAAACTGAACAAACGAACATTCCGGAATGTCTAATATATGGTTGCGATTGTAATTTTGGCGGAATCATTCGCACGGGCCGTAACTGTCGTTCGGAATACCCCGTGTTAACGTTTTCGAGGTTGCATGATTAGAAAACACATTCCGATTGTCACTTTCATGATCTGGTAAGTGACGCTTTGATTGGTCGGATGAAAGGTCGTTCTGACGTGACCCGTAATGGGATGTCCACATAATCAGATCTTTGTTTCGATTGTTTAGCGATAGCGAGAACTGAGATCTGATTTTACACAACTCGGGTCATGGGATAGAATCCTAGATTCGCTTCCATGATGACCATGAGTGCAGCCCCACCCCCTTGGTCGTCCCCACTGGTCACACATGACACTAGACACAAATATACACCGTGCATATACATCTGTTCACGTTCTGTTTAACACCGCCTTTTCTATACTGTACGCAACAGACGAAATTCAACAATTGCATACCGTTTTTAGCTTCAGCAAAATCAGCTAATGCGCTATCGCGTCATTGGATTGTCTGGTCCATCACTGAATTGACTGGTCAAGACTCGTTTGTTTGCAGCCGCCTTTTTTTTTTGTTTATTTGTTTGTTGTTTAGCGCCGCACTCAGCGGTATGTGATTAATAGAGTCTGGACCAGACCACCCAGTGATTGACATCATGAGCATCGATCCACGAAATTGGGATACGTTGACATGCATCAACCAAGCGAGCCTGACCACCCGATCCCGTTAGTCGCCGACCGCATAGTCGTCCTTTACGGCAAGCATGGGTTGCCGAAGACCAATTCTATCCCGGATCTTCACGGGTCGCCGCTGTTGTCGGAGTACTGCTGTGCTGTTGAAGGAGTACTGCTGTGCTGTTGTAGGAGTACTGCTGTGCTGTTTTGGGAGCACTGCTGTGCTGTTGTAGGAGTACTGCTGTGCTGTTGTAGGAGTACTGTTGTGCTGTTGTAGGAGTACTGCTGTGCTGTTGTAGGAGCACTGTTGTGCTGTTGTAGGAGCACTGTTGTGCTGTTGTAGGAGCACTGCTGTGCTGTTGTAGGAGCACTGCTGTGCTGTTGTAGGAGTACTGCTGTGCTGTTGTAGGAGCACTGTTGTGCTGTTGTGGGAGTACTGCTGTGCTGTTGTAGGAGCACTGTTGTGCTATTGTAGGAGCACTGCTGTGCTGTTGTAGGAGTACTGCTGTGCTGTTGTAGGAGTACTGCTGTGCTGTTGTGGGAGTACTGCTGTGCTGTTGTAGGAGCACTGCTTTGCTGTTGTAGGAGCACTGCTGTGCTGTTTTGGGAGTACTGCTGTGCTGTTGTAGGAGTACTGCTGTGCTATTGTAGGAGTACTGCTGTGCTGTTGTAGGAGTACTGCTGTGCTGTTGTAGGGGTACTGCTGTGCTGTTTTGGGAGTACTGCTGTGCTGTTGTCGGAGTACTGCTATGCTGTTGTGGGAGTACTGCTGTGCTGTTGTGGGAGTACTGCTGTGCTGTTGTAGGAGCACTGCTGTGCTGTTGTGGGAGTACTGCTGTGCTGTTGTCGGAGTACTGCTGTGCTGTTGTAGGAGCACTGCTGTGCTGTTGTCGGAGTACTGCTGTGCTGTTGTCGGAGTACTGCTGTGCTGTTGTGGGAGTACTGTTGTGCTGTTGTTGGAGTACTGCTGTGCTGTGTTAAGCAGCAAACACTTACTTTGTTTCTACAAATTGTGTGAGCGACGGTTGCAACCGGCATGCCTGGACGTGTTTCCCTTTTCGCGATTATCGATGTTAAGTGATCCCTTCACGGGGAGGTCGGGTAGTCTAGTGGTTAAAGCGTTCGCTCGTCACGCCGAAGACCAGAGTTCGATTCCCGACATGGGTACAATGCGTGAAGCCCATTTCTGATGACCCCCGGTCGTGATATTGCTGGAATATTGCTAAAAGTGGCGTAACACCTTACTCACTCACTCCCCACTATCTTTTCATCACTAGTTTGTCCTTTTCGCCTAATGGAAACTGTTTCGCCAGATAATCGTTGATGTTTTCATAAAACTTCCCCATCAATACTGCCCGCCGTCAGGTGACTGTGATACTGATCCAAACTCCACATCACTCGCTCACATGTCCCTTCACGTACTCATCCCAAATCTTGGTTTGATCCTGGTAGATGTAACAACGTGATAATAAGTGCCACCCATGCTTGTTGCTATGACAACCTGCAACATAGTGGAAAAAAACGGTTGTTAAAAGTCTGAGTATTTAGTTGACATTCTACAAATGTGAAATCCTATTAAAAACATATTTCATATTCGGAAAGCTCGTCATTCCTTTTATATATTAGCCATTTTATATAATTACAGTAAACTACGGTTAAAACGAACTCAAAGGGACGGTAATTTTAGTTTGTTATAACCGTAGTTCGTTATTAGCATATATACAGCATATATACAGCAAATGGCCGGGACCAAAAATTAAATTCGTTATATCCATCAGTTCGTTATAAGCGTGTTCGTTATAACCGTAGTTTACTGTATTATATACCTTGTCTATATATTCGAGTCGAGGTAAATCAAATAGGTTATGTTGCTTTTAGACAATACAACAAGTATGATTGACGGTTGAGAAATAACTTAAACATTTACAACAATCGTAGGTATCGGATAACTAAAAAATGACGAACAGCCCATAACAAGATTCCTCGTGTAGAGTGAGTGAGTTAACAGTTATATAGCCCCGGTGATGGCGTGCCTGTGAACTGAGCGCTATAACTTACCTTATGTATATGGCCTATCGACCACTGTACAGATGTGACAGTTCAATCAGACGTATCGATCTTACAATAGAAGTGACAGTCAACTTAGTCCCATATTTCACCTATGTAAAATGGCCTTTCGACCACACTATATAAGTGACAGATTTATCGACCACTACATAAAAGTGAAAATAACATCAACTGTATCTATAGAAGTGACAGTAAAACCAACTCTATTGTCTGATCTATAGAAGTGACAGTAAAACCAACTCTATTGTCTTATCTATAGAAGTGACAGTAAAACCAACTCTATTGTCTGATCTATAGAAGTGACAGTAAAACCAACTCTATTGTCTTATCTATAGAAGTGACAGTAAAACCAACTCCATTGTCTCATCTATAGAAGTGACAGTAAAACCAACTCTATTGTCTTATCTATAGAAGTGACAGTAAAACCAACTCTATTGTCTGATCTATAGAAGTGACAGTAAAACCAACTCTATTGTCTGATCTATAGAAGTGACAGTAAAACCAACTCTATTGTCTGATCTATAGAAAGGACAGTATTATGAACTATATCGTGTCAGTAGAAATTACAATAAAATCACCTCTATCGTGTTATCTATAGAAGTGACAGTAAAACCAACTCCATTGTCTTATCTATAGAAGTGACAGTAAAACCAATTCTATTGACTTATCTATAGAAGTGACAGTAAAACCAACTCTATTGTCTGATCTATAGAAGGGACAGAAAAACCAACTCTATTGTCTTATCTATGGAAGTGACAGTAAAACCAACTCTATTGTCTGATCTATAGAAGGGACAGTATTATGAACTATATCGTGTCAGTAGAAATTACAATAAAATCACCTCTATCGTGTTGTCTATAGAAGTGACAGTAAAACCAACTCTATTGTCTTATCTATAGAAGTGACAGTAAAACCAACTCTATTGTCTGATCTATTGAAGTGACAGTAAAACCAACTCAATTGTCTGATCTATAGAAGTGACAGTAAAATCAACTCTATTGTCTTATCTATAGAAGTGACAGTAAAACCAACTCTATTGTCTGATCTATAGAAGGGACAGTATTATGAACTATATCGTGTCAGTAGAAATTACAATAAAATCACCTCTATCGTGTTGTCTATAGAAGTGACAGTAAAACCAACTCTAATGTCTTATCTATAGAAATGACAGTAAAACCAACTCCCTTGTCTGATCTACAGAAGTGACAGTAAAACCAACTCTACTGTCTGATCTATAGAAGTGTCTTATTAATAGAAGTGCCTGTAAAATCATCTCTATTGTCTCACCTACAGAAGTGACCGTTAAGTCCGCCCTGCAGCCGGTCGAGCGCCTGACCTTCATGTCAGAGGGTTCCATGGTACTGTCCACCCAGGCAGACAGGAACGTCGCGCTCGTCAGCAACGTCTTCAGGGGCATCGGCGAGATCTTCCCCACCGACTACAACGCTACCTGGGCGGAAAATACGTCAGGGTAGATACATGTATTTCTCAGACATGTTACCGAGGTTTGGGATATTGTTATTGGCTGTATATAGGGGTACCCCTGGCAGTATATAGTGGTACCCCTGGCAGTATATCGGGAAGTACAGGTGTGAAAACAAGTGTCGAGCATATCGAATTCCCCTCACATTTTGTACCCCGTTTGTGTATAGGTAGTTCAAATGTGTAGGTCGAAGCTGCTTCAACGACGGCATGATTGTGTGACTAATTAATATGTGACGAGGGGGCACGGGTGGCCCAGTCGTCTTAGGAGCCGCAATTCGCTGTGCAGAGTTGTGTCCCTTGGACACAACAGAAACGAAATTGTGGTTCGAATCCCAGTTCGCCCCGTTATGTTTCTTGGTTTGTCAGCACCATACCCGTGCTCGTGGGTTTCACCAAAGTGGTTAATGTCTGAGACCTCCATCACTTCGGGATTTCCTCCCACATTAAGCTGACACACCGTAAAAGAACTGGAATAGCGGTGGCGTTAAACCCAACTCACTCACTCACTAATAAGTGTCGTAAAACTAGCAGAGAACATATATTAAATGGGTGACTTTCCCAGCGGCCTAGTACCAGTGACGTTGTAATTAGCGCCATGTGTGAAACATCGTCTTTGTGTGATCGGGGTAACCATTGATTGTAAATTCAATGTACACATATCACTTTGAGGTCGAATATGAACAAAATGGTGTTTGAAGACCATGAATCAAGTAAGCTGGGGCTGCCAACTTGTGTGAGCAGAGTTCCCCTTTAAAGGGTCACTAGACTCGATCTAATTGGCGGTTCTAACTCGTTGATGGAAGCCATTACAACACTTCGTAAACCTGGCAACACAAAGAATATTTCGACATTAATGATGGCTATCAGACGAGCAGTCAACGATTACTCCAGTTACGTCAAGGCAATGTCTCAAGAAGTCAGTGTCCAACAAGTCACTAGTGAGACTGCAGATAGGCACCAGACCACGGAGTCTTAACGCCTTTAAGCTAACATGTCGTCAGGTAGCTGTATTTTCAAATCCTTCCCACAAACCTTCTTCGAGAGGCATTTAGAAGTTGATGTGACGTGACGGTGTAGCTTCTAACACCTTGTTCACGTTGTTAGAACCTACACCGAAACATCCCTCCCAATTTTTATATAGAAATTGTTTATCCATATATCTTATCCTTACCTACTTCGTACCTTAGCTTCGATATTTAAACTTATCAGAGCTACAGATAAGCTGCGTATTTGCATAAAATACCCCCCCAAAACTATTTAAAACCCAATTCCTTTCAATTAACTTGCGTGCAGAAATGCATGCATTAAATGGAAAACGCAATTGTTTAAAAACGGCGCGCGTAAACACCCAGTGAACCTTTTTTCAGCATGCGTACAAAGGAGCTAATTTCCGAAACAAAATTACGAGCTAATTTGCTTTCCGAGTCAAGCCTATATTAAGAAGCGTTATATTACATCTAAAACACTATTTCATTATTTTAAATCTCAAAATGCTTACTCATTTCGGGAACAAAAACCCAATAGAGTGATGAATAGATGAGTGAAAAAAATATTGGTTACCTAGAGAAAAATGTAATAACCGAATTAAAATGGAAACCTTCGAGTAAAAACTCAATTGCTCAAAATGTTATCTGGAGCTCTGGACTTATCTAAAGTATATGCGTGTTGCACAGCAATAGCTGCGTACTTGACTGTGTCCATCATTCAATGTTTTCTTCCGATTTCAGTGCCGAAATAAAAATTAGCAACCATATTGTGGGCGTGTCCTTGTATCCTAGCAACACGACAGACCAGAAACAGATCAACTTGACCTTCAGCTTGTCCCAACCACATAATTATACTGTCATCCCAAAATGTGTTTTCCTGGATTTTGGAGACAGGTTGTATATATTTCGTATTCCTTTAAAACAGCATATCATTACTGTTTTCGTGTTTACAAATAAACATAAAACAGTATTGGTGATTATACTATAACAACTGGATAATTTGTTTCATAATATAATGATAGAAGTGCAATATATTTTGTTAAATGGATCTTATATCTGTTTGTTATCCATATAGTATAAACTCAAGACGTTAACGTTTATAATAATCACATGTGTGATAATGACTTGAAGCGCATCGTCGCTATTATGATTTTTGACGTCAGAGTAATGACGTCAGAATAATGACGTCACAGGACATCGGTATCCCACTTACCTTATGAACCCGTGTCAGGATGTACACGTTTCCTAAAATCAGAAATTCCTGTGATAATCTCGATAATCATATTTCCAGAGGCCAAGACGATTCCAGATGGTCAGACATTGGATGCAGCACAATTGTCATGGATACTGGAGTTATCTGCTCCTGCAATCATCTGACAAACTTTGCCATATTGATGCAGGTCGTTGCTGTCGAGGTGTGTATGTCGGACACCATGGTGTACGTGGCGTTGAGTGAGTGAGTGAGTTGGGTTTAACGCCGCTCTGAGTGAGTGAGTTGGGTTTAACGCCGCTCTGAGGGAGTGAGTGAGTGAGTTGGGTTTAACCCGCTTTGAACAGTGTTTCATTATCAGCTTGATGTGAGAGAAAAGGACGAAGTGATGCACGTCTCGGTCGTTTACCACTTTCTGACCACCCGATCCAATTAGTCGCCTCTACAAGCACAGTCACCTTTTACGGCAAGCATGGGTTGCTGAAGATCTATACTAACCCGGATCTTCACGGGTCTAAATTATTGAGATAAAGATTGCGATTGTACGTACAAATATAACGAACACTGGTAAAGTATACTACTCAAAATAGATTAAAGAACACGCGAATTTTTCATATGACAAGTTAATCTGTCAGATTTACAATTGTCATGGAAAAAGTAGGTGTTCCTTACCTTATTTTGAGCAGTATATAATTGATGTACACTTATACTGGAGGCAGTACATGTTTTAGAATAAATAAAAATAATGATATAATAAACTGAGGTATATTGTTTTTCGTCATTGTTGTTTTCAGGAACCATGAAGGACCCCTAAAAAGTATTTTATTTTAAATAAACAATGATTTGTTTGTTTCTGTTTTGTTTGGTTGTTAATGGTCATATCAGATTGATTACGTTTGCCTATAAAAATTAGCGACAAATCATTTCTATAATCAGTGTACGATTCCGACTATATCATAAGCATGCGATTATGAATCACTATCAAAAATTAATGATACCATGGGGTCGCGAAAAGGGGAGCGGCTCAAACACTATACCTTCCAAGACAATCACTGTGTATACTCACTGCCAAAAGTAACGCGAACCATAGAAACATATAGAGAAGTATGTAAGTTATGTTTCCGATGTGCACCGCTCAATGACAAAACTAACAATCAGTTAAGTGTTAACACATAGTGTCTTTATTCTTAATACGATTTGCTGTCAAATATGTGATTACCAAACTTTACACACTAATCCTGCACGAAACAAATGGTGCATCTCCAGTCATCGGTCTATGACGTCACATGTGATGCGTTCATAAGCGTCGATTCACACAACATACCAGTATGTTCGTTTGTGCATCTAACCAATCTAATATTTCGAGTAATTCTTCATCTATTAACCAACATATATGGTATTATCGTTTCTTTTGTTGGTGAGTATATAAACCACCTTGTTGTTTCAGCTCTCCTCCGTCGACGAGCAGGCGCTGGAGGTGATCACGTTTGTGGGGTGCACGCTGTCACTGCTGGGTGCGATACTCACCGTCCTTACATTCCTGTTTCTCAAGTATGTGCCGCCCCATGTGACTGTGGAGACAATCCTTGCCTCCTGACACTAGGCCCCGTCACTATTCCAAGATATCGCGCCAACTTGAAAGTATCGCACTTACTTGGACATATCCAGCCGGGTTCTCTGCGTGTGCTGCGCTGGCGCTACACTGGAGCGGCAGCGCAGCATACCCAGGGAACCAGGCTGGCGAATAACAAGTAAAACTCGAGATATATTGCAATAACATCGAGAAGTCCGTTCACTGATAAATAGCGGTAATTTCGATATAATTAGAGGTCAATTCAAAGTGTATTCACGAAGTGTAACTTACTTATTAGACCAAAAGCTACACTTCATGTACAAATAAACATCCGTTAAACGAACGGAGCTGACATTGTTGAAACAATTACACACCAATATATGAAACACGCCGATCCCACTCATATGTTTGAGTGAGTGAGTGAGTTTGGTTTTACGCCGCTTTTAGCAGTATTCCAGCAATATCACGGCGGGGAACGCCAGAAATGGGCTTCACACATTGTACCCATGTCGGGAATCGAACCCGGGTCTTCGGCGTGGCGAGCAAATGCTTTAACCACTAGGCTACCCGACCACTCGCTTATACGAGCCGTCGACCTTGGAATAGACTACGACGAATAACATTTACTTTGTTTCAATGGCATTCTAGAAGTTAGTGAGTGAATAAGAAAACATACAACATTTGTGAGCAACCATGAGATAAGGGGCCAAATGGGTTATAAATCACATTTTGACTTTTCATTATATTTAAAAACAACAGCATCTTCGGAACACAAGAATACAATTCACAAGCTTCAATTCACACTTATTATAGAGTGAGTGAGTGAGTGAGTGAGTGAGTGAGTATGGTTTTACGCCGCTTTTAGCAATATTCCAGCAATATCACGGCGGGGGACACCAGAAATGAAATGGGCTTCACACATTGTACCCATGTCGGGAATCGAACCCGGGTCTTCGGCGTGACGAGCGAATGCTTTAACCACTAGGCTACCCGACCGCCCCCATTTACTATAGAGATACACGACATCACATATATCAATCTTTAAGTTAACGTCATACATCTGTATGACGTCATAGCACAATTGGGTCTCAGAGTCTCCCACTGTGCCCTTTATTGCAGGATCTACACAGACCGGGTTCTCATCCATCTCAATCTGGCAGTGTCCATCATCGGCGCCCAGATCCTGCTGCTGATGGAGGAGGCCATTGACCGGGGAACGGTGAGTCCGCGCACTACATCAGTGAGCCAGGCTGTCCCGCCTTTAACGAAACCAATACAGCTGCGGGGGCGAACAATGGGGATTTTGCCAAAAGCGTCCAATGCATAATCGCCAAAGTATCAGCATATTGAATATCATTCCTGAATGATTGTGTGGCCTGTCTGGCCAGGAATCATTGTTTACAGCCAAAGCTTCAAACTGACCACCCTTCAAAAAGATTATAAAAAAACAATGTATTTTTTATGATGTTCAATTATTTATCCATAAAAAATCAATTTTTTGCTTGTTTCTTTCTTGTTTAACGCCGCACTCAGCAATATAGCTCTCCTGCTAAATGAGGGCGGCCTGGAAATAATCAAATCTGGGCCAGACAGTCCAGTGATTGATATTATGGGCAACGATCCACGCCGTCGGGGTTCCCGAGCCATAAAAAAGTATTTCTTACTGGCATAGGTTGCAGGGTACCAGTACATACTGGATCAGGTAGTCTGACTGGCCTGGAATCTTTGTCATTGCCGTGATGCAGCTGGAATATTGTTGACTGCGGCTTAAAACAACATTTATCCTCTCATTTGCATTTTTGCGAGTCGACCATTGAAGCAGACTGATGATTGGTGTTTCTGGGTCTGTAAGGGTGACGGTTCTACGTGGCGGCATGCGATCCTGTGCACAGCTCACAAATCAGGTGAAGTTAAGCAACGTCGGTCGTGGAGAGTCCTTTTATGGTTGACCCCGTTTCGGCAGCTTGACTCCTGAGAGTTTCTAGGGCTTCGGTCCTGCCCCACACTGAAGCACATGTACCACATGTGGTGTCTCCTTGAGAAAGGGACTTTGTTCGAAATGTGCCTCTGTTCACCCAGCAGTAAATGGGTACCCGGTAGGATGAGATGGCAATGTTTGTTAACCTTCTAGCGCCTCACAGGCAGTTTGAGTTGTATACTTCCCTGGGAGCTGAGAATGATGCTTGAGTGGACACTGATCCAAATGTTTCTGCCCCCAGTCTGCGTGTGTGGGGGTGACGGTTCTACTCTACTACTTCAACATGGCGGTGTTCAGCTGGATGCTGGTGGAGGGGGTGCAGCTGTTCATACAGATTGTCGTCGTCTTCACCGCCGAGAGCCGGATGAAGGTGTTCTACACTATAGGATGGGGTGTGTTCGCATTGTCCTACTCACTGTAGCCACGAATCCAGTTATCAAGGTCACCAAAACGGGCAAAACTATTCCTCTTAAGGACCTCAAATTTAATCTTCTGATGTTTTTTTTTAGTATAAATATAAACATAAATATATACACTGTAGTTGGGGGTGTTTTGGCTGCCACACAGGGACCGGTAGGGTAGCCTGGTGGTTAAAGGTTTCGCTCCTCTCGCCGAAGGGTTCGATGTGTGAAGGACATTTCGGGTGTGCCCCGCCGTGATATTGCTGGAATATTGCATAACGCGGCGTAAAACAACAAACACTCACTCTAATGCCTACTCACACACTAATGTGTAGCCACTTGTGTCATTCCGAGAAAAGTCGAAGTTACGGAAAAGGGCGATAGGTGACGAAAGACGATATTCCACGAGTCCAGACCATTTTACATTTGGCTGAATTCGTTTTATGAAATAAATAATTTTGTCCGAAGTCAGTTCATGTCTAATGAAATCCAAATAAATATTATGTCACGCTTATTGGCAAAAACACAATTCATGTTTTGGAGGGGGCACGTGTGGCTTAGTCGTCTAAGGCGCCACGATTCGCTGTGCACGCCAATAAACTATGATTGTGGGTTCGAATCCCGGTTCACCCCAATTATATTTCTAGGTTTCTCAGCACCATACCCGTGCTCGTGGGTTTCACCGAAGTGGTAAACGTCTGAGACCTGCATCACTTCGGGCTTTCCTCCCACATTAAACTGACACCCCGTGATGTAACTGGAATACTGTTAAAAGCGGCGTTAAACCCAACTCACTCACTCACTCATGTTTTGGACAAAACACCGAAACGATGATCATCTCGAAATCCTTTTGAAAATAAATTGTCACCTCATCATAGTGACGTCAGACGGTCGAGAGAACCTTCCATATCCGACCATCAACTAACAGTGCTAAAAATGGTACAATGGCCGAGAGGCATTAGTATGGAATACTGTAAGGGACATTCTTGCGATCTCGACTTTTGGAATCAAGCTCACTATGCCAAAGTGCCGGAATGCGAGTTGAGGAGAACTCGAGAATAGAAGAAAGAAACTCGACTACTTTTAGAACTAGTCTGGTTTTGTAATAGATGTTCAATCGCCAATACGTCTATAAATTATTAATTTGGGAGTTGAACATGACACTCATTATTTCCTTCTAAGGGTTGCCGTTCCTGGCCGCCGGTGCGCTTCTCCCGGTGTTCCACGAGAATCTCGGACAGATGGGCGTGTAAGTGAATCGGAAGTTTGTTAAGTACATGTACGACTTACTATTTCATTGACACTATATGTGACAACAAAGCAAATGAACATACTTCCCATGTTTGATTAACTAATGACACCAAAAAATAAGCATTTTTGTTCTTGTCAATTTCCCTCGTAACAATGTGCCATGCGAACACATTAAAATTCTAACATGTATCCTTACGTTTGAATCAGTTTGTTGTTTCCCGAGCAGAAAGGTTTCTTGTCAGAGTGTCCCTTATTCTATTATACGTAACGGCTGTTCGTCTGTGTGCCAGGTGTTGGTTGTCTCCCCTGGATAATTCGATCTGGGCATTCGCTGTGCCTGCAGTCCTTGTTGTCTGTGTAAGTAACTATGGGTGTCACAAAAAGCTCAAATGAATATGGGTGTTACTAAAAGCTAAAATGAAATGTGAGATTGACACCAAAACAAAAAACATAAAAACATACTTAATTTTTCTGTCGATTTTCCTTGCCGTGAAGGGTTGACCTCGAAATCACAACAGTTAACAATATTTGGGATATCACTTGAGAGACATACTCGTTGACAGACACTGAGTAATGTCACTCCGAAGTTTTCAAAGGAGTGAACTTTGGTATCAGAAGGATTCGCCATTAAAGCGGCGTTAAACCAAGTTCGCTTACTCAAAGCTCCGAATCTGTCCCGACCGCCTCCGTGGTCTAGTGGTAGAGCGTCCGCCCGGAGAGCGGAAGGTCCGGGGTTCGATCCCCGGCCGCGTCATACTTAAAGACGTTTAAAGATGGTACTTGTTGTTACCCTGTCTGGCGCTCGGCATTAAGGGGCTAAAACAAGGACTGGTCGGCTCGGAGTCAGTATACTGTGTCTGAGTGGGGTCTTCATGTTAAACTGTGGCATGGTATCTCAGTGAGCTAGCACTATAAATCGGCATCAGTCCTGACTAGTACAAGCAGCCATACAAACACACACACGTACATGCACGTCGCTATATAAGTGCAATACTCTTGGACGCGACGTTAAACTCCATTTCACCTCACCTCACCGAATCTGTCCCACACACGATGGCTTCAGGCCTATCGGGAAATAATGATGGTCAGGGTGGCCCAGTAGTCTAAGGCGCCACAAGTCACTATGAGGTGTGTCCTGTTGGAATGGAAGGATCCCATGAACGTAGGTCCCAATCCAGACTCGCCCTGATTATTTTACAGATTGCAACAACCTATACCCGTGGTCTAATGTCTGCTTTGCTTTAGGTTTAGTCACACGTTGAAAGATAACTGAAAGCCGGGTCAAACTCAACTCAACTCACTCACTCACTCACGATCTCACGATGCCTGTGTTTGTCTGTTGCAGACCAACCTGATCATCCTGATGTTGGTGATGCGGGTCATCCTCAGCCTCAGTGTGGCCATGGAGGAGAACAAGATCCGCAGCATCAAGTAGGTGGACTCGGAATCTTTCATGGCCCTGTGTGATACATGAAACTGATGCTTTTAGAAGTTTTGTAATTATAATAAATCCCCATTCCATAACTAGGCAGCCGTTTTTTTTGTATTGATCATTCCACCGGTGCTGTTACTGTTTGACAGAACATTATTGAAATAAATGTTTTGTTGGGAGCCAACAAGCGCTGACATACTCACAGATTTGTGATAACGCTTCCCGAGGTATAGGACTGTGTTCCTATGCTTTATGACCATCGGTGGCCCTTGCTTTAAGAGGATGCAGAGTTAAGTCCCTTAGCTGTGTGCAAGGATCCGAATCCATTTTTGCCTCAATTAGGAATCTAGATGTTATAGCACTGACCTGTGTTCTTTGGTTAAGCCAGAATGATAAGCACATACGACATATTTCTCAATGTGCAATCCTCCAACAGTGGCGTTTTCTCATCTATTCCAGGACGGCGGTGAAGGCGTCGTTGCTGTTGCTGCCGCTGCTGGGCTGCACGTGGCTGTTCGGGGTGTTTACCTTCTCCGGGAAGACGGTGGTGTTCCAGTATCTGTTCGCGGCCACAAACTCCCTGCAGGGTCTGCTGCTGTTTATCTGTCACTGCATCTACAACAGTGAGGTAGGTCAAGGTCATATAGTGAGTGAGTGAGTTTTTACGCCGCTTTTAGCTCACCACCCAGGTCATATAGAGACAACAAGTGTCGCCATAACCTGCGCACATCACTGGGGCAGTAAAAATAGTCCCGCCATATCACGGCGTGGGACACCATAAATGGTCTTCTGGCACCCATATTGGGAATCAAACCCTTTGGTGTGATGAGCTGACACTTTAACCACCAGGCAGCATCACCACCAAAATGTCATTTAGAGGCAGAAATATGTCGCCATGACCTGCGCCCATCACTTGGGCAATGATTCCAGCTATTTCACGGCAGTGACATCAAGAGTGAGTGAGTGAGTGAATATGTTTTAACGCCGCTTTTAGCAATATTCCAGCGATATCACGGCGGGGGACACCAGAAATGGACTTCACACATTGTACCCATGTCGGGAATCGAACCCGGGTCTTCGGCGTGACGAGCGAACGCTTTAACCACTAGGCTACCCCACCGCCCCCGTGACATCAAGAATGGGCTTCATATATTGCACACATGTGGAGTGTCAAGTACAGGTTCTCGACGTGACGCGACACCGCTTTAAAAACAAGACTACGAGACAAATAAGGGTCGTAAGAAGGATGAACTTGAGATTTGAACCCACCGGATCGTTGTAGATAATCCCATGAAGATACGGGGTAGAATAGGTCTTCAGCAACCCATGCTTGTCGTAAGAGGCGACTAACGGGATCGGGTGGTCAGGCTTGCTGACTTAGTTAATGCATGTCATTGATCCCAATTGCGTGGATCGATGCTTATGATGTCAATCACTGGATTGTCTGGTCCAGACTCGATTATTTACAGACCGCCGCCATATAGCTTGAATATTGCTGAGTGCGGCGTTACACAACAAACCAAACCAAACCAAACGTTGTAGCTGACGTGCACGAACTGTGGCACTTTAAACCCTGGGTCTACCACACGCTGAACAAACACCAGGGTTCGATTCCTCCTCCTGAATAATGTTTGAAGTATTTTAAGCTCATCACACCGCGATATATCGCTGATATTTTAAAACCATATTCACTCACACAACATGTTATGCAGTTGTCAATTTCACTGTTGGTGGAAGGGTGTTTATCATCCTCTTCGTGTCCACATGTTTAGGTCAGAGACGTATTCCTACGCCGCAAATCGTCCTGGGACCTGTCACGACAGTTGAAGACGCACAACAAAGTAGAGCCGATATCCGACATCAGACCATCTTCATTCAAAGCGAGGCCTGCAGTCCAAACAAGACAACCCGGAGACAGGGTTATCACTCCGCCAACGGGGTCATCTGTCGTAGGATCAAACCCGGAAAGTGACACATCAAAAACCGGGCGGAGAAAAAGTAGTCCCGCCCCGATAAGCGTTGAATCAGTCAGTAAATAAAGGTCTCTGTTTTTGAAGGGAGATACTATTGATATATGTACCCGATCTTGTACCAGTGAGACTAGTCTAATTGTAAAAACACACTTAACAGTACAATAACCATTGTGTGGTTTATGTCTCAGTGCGTAGTCACACAATGTGGTACTGAGGCAGTAGCTTGTCACGACGAATACATGGGTTCGAATCCCATGAGGGTACAATGTGTGAAAACATACTTGATGCCCTTGTCGTGACATGACTGGAAGCGGCGTTAAACAAAACTCACTGGATGGAGTCATTCGTGACTAACTCGTGTTATTTCAGGACAAGCCGAAAAGCGACTCGTACCCCTCTCGTGGGCTTTTTGCGACTGGGTTCCGTCTAACCGCAAACGGGCATATATAGCAAAAAGAATTGACAACTCGTTGCGTAATGATTCACGTATATTTCCCCTATATGTCGTATATATTCCAGATGCTATTGAAACACATCGGAACTTACAGTATTATACAGTATGATTAAACACATTTAACTGTATCTTGGGTATGTTTATAAATGCAAGACATATGTAAAATCAAAAATTATTCCTGAGGGATTCTTTGACCGAAGTACTTGAAGTCATACGCGCATTCTGATTGGTTTGTCGTATTTTCGCACATAACGTTCATCGATAGGGGGACGAGTCTTCTTGCAGTTTACGGAAAGGGGCGAGTGGTGACGAATGTGGATGGAGTGTTGATTACCACCGATGGCTGCCAGAAGTACCAGTCTTTGGCCCCGTTCCACAAATCAATCTTAGCGCAACGACTCTCGTAAGCCAGTGTTAAAGTATGGTAGTCACGATCACCTTAGCGCTAAGATGGCTTTGTGGAACGGCGGCTGCTTGTCAGCTCTAACTGAATCGTCAATACGTCACGGTGATACACGGACGGGTCCAGAAGGTGGTGGTAGCACGCACCCCAGTCTTAGCAGGCACTTTACATGTTGTCTTTAGATCAATATATTATGCATACTTTGCCAGTTGGAGATTACTGGTGTATTATTGATGTATTGATTGACACTGAATACAGATGAACCTCGACGTTCAGTAATTAACAATTAGCGGGTAATTAACTTGATACATGTGAAATCACTTGTGCGTGTTATACTGATGATAATAAATATCACATATAAACATCGATCTCCGTGTCTATTGTGTCGAACTTATATTATATAACATGTCATTATATTGATTCACACACAGTTCACCATGAGTAATTTTCACAAACATGGACAGGTTATTAATACGAACAGTGAGACGACTGACCGCCGCGTTTGTAGTAATATAATGAGTGAGTGAGGGTTTTTTAAATTTTTATTTTAGAGCCGCTTTCAGGAATAATCAATCAAGAAAATCTTAGACGTTAACTGTTAATTGAAACCGACGAGCGCGGATATCATGATGATAACTTAAAACAATCAGAACCAACCGGGATTCAAACTCACGGTCACAGGTTTCTGCCACGCCAAAGGGACGCAACTCTGCACAACGAATTGTAGCGCCTCATACGACCGGGCCACGCATTCCCCAGTTGTAATACAGTGCGTCCCTTTGTATGGGAGCGTTCACTAGCATATTCATAGCAGGGCCAGATGACGGTATCCTGTAAATGAAGAGCAATTTCCGTGTGTCATCTAAAGCATGTTGGTGATGAGGGCTCATGCATCGCTCTGGTCGGGACGCAGCTCGCTGGTCAGTCTTGAGGGTGGTTTATGTTCAGATCTCACCACGCCATCATGAATAATGTCCAAGCGTACTCGTCTGTAGGTAACTCGAGTCGCCACGTGCATTTCATGAATCTCATCATCATGACCTATGGGATGGGGTTGTGCTGCATTCAGCAATGTTTCACAATATCGTTCCATTTTAATAAGAGAACTGGGATGTTATGAGTGCATGAACGTTGCTCCATCTCGTAGATGTAACAGCGTGAGTCGGAATGATTCTGACCTCAGGAAAGACTCGCCTCACCCCATTCACGTTTTGTCCATTCCATCATATCTGTGACAAGGCAATCAGCTTCCATGGTCAATGACCTATAGGTTCACGAAATAAACGTGTGAATTTGGGGCAGGAACTTCACACTTGCCTGGGGAGATCGGTCGAGCAGGAAATGTCTCCAGTTCGTAAACACCTGGTGTCATTGCCAAGAACTTCATCATTCATTTATACTACTACTACTACTACTACTACTACTACTACTACTACTACTACTACTAGGTGAGGTGAAATGGGGTTTAACGTCACGTCCATGATTATTCCACTTATATACACTGCAAACACGAAAACGTCGTTTTTTTTCCGTATATGGTCATTGGACGGAAAAACGACGTTATTTGGACGTTTTCAAACCATCGTTTTTCCGTCCAAATAACGTCGTTATTTGACATCGGAATTTACTGGGAGAGAACGATAGCGTTAAGCTCCTCCCTTTCTTGATTGACATTGTCAATCAAGCAACAGCGTCTACCGGTATTTCTACTTCTCAGTTTTCATTGGTCAGTCCCCGCGTGTTAGATTACAGGCCCGCGTTTGACGCTGCACTCGAAGCGCTTAGCGGAAGTACTGAAATCAATCGTTCTGCGCATGCGGATTACTTAATGCCTTGACCAAATTTTCCGTTCTGTGCATGCGCGTATTGTTTCCTAGATTTAATGTCACCACTATTTGACAATGGTTCATAAACACAGTCACGTGAAGGTTCGGAATCGTAATGAGTAACTCCATTTAAATTGAAGAGTATCCCCAGTGATATGGGAGATTCCAAGATGAAACTATTCCATGGCTATCTAGGCTGCCACCCAAACTGATCTAAACGGGACCCGATAGCTTATTGTATGCTATATAGTCATATGGAAGTGGACAAGAACTATACATTGTATTCCGGCCGATTGTTCTTGCATTTACTTATAAGTCAGGAAAATGGACTTAAAAGGGGAGTTGTTGAATGTAATTATTTTAATTATTAAATGTTGCCTATACACTAATCTGGACGAACTTCTCATTGTTCTGTTTATGTCATCCTATATACTATTAGTATGTTTCCGTTCTAAAGTCATCCTCTCACATAACATTATATTGTTCATAGTATCAAAGTTTAATCAACAATATCAAGAGCAGCGATTTAAACCACTGAAACACCCAAACACAAGGCTGTTATCAAGCGCTAGTGCAGACGTGATGCATCGTAAAAAACTGTATCTTGATGTCTTCAGAAATACAATTATACTACGAGATAGTACGGCTAACGCTGACTCACCGTTGGAACAAAGACAATATCGCTAATACAGATATAACGTATTTGAATGTTAACACTAAAGACAAACAATCATTATTTTTGCAGTGACGATATAACACGTATACACGTTTATTGTTAGCTTTCATCACTTTTGCTCTTCATTTTAATAACTTTGTTTTCACATATATATGTAGCAATACCCGACAAGCATGTCATACATAATTATGGGGCAGTTTTCATTCTTGTACTGACTTACTCTGGTGTTAATGAGCGATGTTTATTGGCTTGTGTGTAAAACCCCGTTTTTCTGGTAATCCTATTATTACTTAGTTTATGTCTATCTAATGACACCCTGTACTCTGGATCATGGCTCCGTGACTATCCATAACAATTAAGATGAACATTCAGTTCAAGTAAATGAATGAGTTTGTTTTGACGCTACAGTCAGTCAAAAAAGCCAATGCTGTGAGGTTTGATAACAAACTTCTACCAGGTCGAGCATCGTGGATCCTCATTTTCTGCCTAAAGAGAATCATAGTTCATATGCTAATCCATAGGCGAATACCCTCCCACTCAAGATGAACTTACTTGTTGCTAAATCGCACACGCACACGCACACACACACACACACACACACACACACACACACACACACACACACACACACACACACACACACAAACAACTGACCTAAATAACCTGGACAGGAAATACTGCTGATAGCCTCTGGTCAACTCAGCCGCGCCACCGCAGAATGTCCGTCCAACTCTGCAGGGGGCATTCTCAGTGGCTTCAAACGCGCTGAAATGTTTTCGCCTTGCATCCACGATGATGGACAAGTGAAATCGTATGAAATTTGGCTATTTTAGGTCCTATCTCTTTTTTGATTACCCAATAAAGTCAATTCATACTTACACGGTTGTGAAGCTTACAACTTTATAAGACTTATTCATCTCATTCCAAAAAAGCTACTCGCGCTCACATAAAGTTGTAGTTATTATGTCACTGTTTTATTTCTTTAAAAATATATTACATGTTCAACAATAACAATTAAGATGAACATTCAATTTCCAATATATGAGTAAATGAATAAGTGTGTTTTACGCCACAATCAGTCAAAGACCAACGTTGTCCGGTCTGATGACACACAATCTACCAGGTAGCACATTGTGTACACCCTATCCCTATTGAAGTCTCCACTGTGGGTATTCCTGGGGACGAAAAGGTCCCATGTACCTAGGAATTTCATCAATACATTCATGCGCGGCATTCTCTGCCTAAAGAAGATCATATAGTTAACATGCTAATCCAACTCGAACTACCATCCCGCTCAAGATGAATTATTTTATGTAACATCCAACAGGCCCACATTTACGCACGCACGCACGCACGCACGCACTCACGCACGCACGCACGCGCACACACATATTTGGATTTATCAATCCCTGAAATGAGAAGACGTGCGTTACGAAGCTCCTCCAAGTCATCATCAATATCCGTATATGTCTGTGATATCATTACCCATCCAAAGCCGAATATACATTTATTGTGTTTTCTTGACAACAAATGTTATAATTGGGATAACACTTTCTGAGTAAAGTACAGATTCTCGTACTTTCTTGGGTTGAGTCCCGTCCGGGATTTGAACCCACACTGTGAGTGAGGCACCCAATCGCCAAAACACAATGTTGGCGATCTAACCCAGCCACCGAAACAAAAATGTTAGTCCAGATGACGTATACTTTGTGTACTCCTCTGACAAGAGAAAAATGGCACGGTTTCTATGACCGAAAGCTTTGAACCAACAATGCCTTTAAGAAAGTGGTCAACAGTAACACACATTATATTTGGATACCACTTTCTGAGTAAACTACATATTTTTAGGGTGGAGATAAATGACGTTGATGGTTGATTATCAATGGACAAATTAAAGCCAAAACTTAACTTATGAATGATTGGTAATGGGAAATGGACAATGGGCAAACGGGAGGCGGGGTAATCAGCGCCATGCCAGTTATCTGTTGGCTTCCCTTGTTGCGTTCCCATCTTTGCTATCTTTTTACTTTTGTTGTTCTTACAGGTACAAATATATGTTCTCTGCCTCATAGCATTTAATAATATGCACCTGATGAAGGAGAAAGTATATATTCCGAAACGCAGTGTTCCTCCGTTGACATCCATAAATATTTTTCCTTGTGTGTATCGGTTCTTAATGCCCTTCAAAGACTCAATCTAGCTTTGTTTTTAAATGCGGTGAT